ATGAAAACTGAACATGTGAAAACTTGGCCTAACTATTTGTGTTTTTGATCATTTGTAAACATTTCTTGAGCAAATCCTTTTTGGAAATGATCATAGCACGTGTTTTCCTGCAAAAAGTTCTTCCACATTTCATGTGAGACTCAATGTACAAAATGATGGAATTAATTCGAAGCTTGCAAACTGAGAATAAAAAAACATCTGTCATTTAAACTGCAGTACGTAACTTTTATAAAAAATAACTTTTTGTCATATTTTCTGAAACTTGACTTTAGTAGTACATGAGACAGATGATCTTTGAAACAATCAGGCTCTGTTCTGACTCGTTCTAGCGTTCCTAACGGCATGATTTTTGAGCCTCAGTCCCTGGTCCCAAAGTACTGCAGTATTGCATTCACTTGAAAAAAAAAAAAAAAAATTTTTTTGTGCTTTTTCTTTCCTTCTGAACAACCACAAAGTCCTCAGGTGTCTGCGTAGAGTCGACACAAACTAATGATAGATACCACTGTATGACTTAAAGACAGGACTATCCAGTGTCTTAAACCCAGATCAAAGTAAAACTTGATTGAACTAAACAAGCCGGTCATGTTTGTTTCCATTAAATCGAGCTCTCAATAAAGGAATGAATGCGTCTATTGTTTTAAATGCTCTATAAACTCGGAAAAAAAAATTGTCCGAAAAACAGAAAAAAAATGTTTTTTCAGAATCTGAAAAAAATTACTCCGAAAAACCAACCATTAAAATAAATTACTCTGAAAAACAGAAAAAAATTACTCCGAAAAACAGACAAAAAAATAAATGTTCAAGTGAATGCAATGTGCTTCCGTACCAAAGCGTCGGTAATTGACAACCTCGGACTGAGACTCATTGTTGATATGCTATAATGTCACAAGACAGGGGTCAAAGGTCATCACTTTATCGCTTAGCATCATGGTTTTTTGTTGTTGTTCTTTTCCAGCTCTGGGCTACCTCAGCTCTGTGTTGGGACACAGTAGGAGACATGCTTATCAAAAAGTTAAAAAGTTTGGATGACATGGTGATTTACATTGGTCTAACTTTAAGTAGGGGCTAGTCATATTTATGCAGCCCTAACCTGCATGGGGCAGCTCAGGCACAGAAGGCAAATGGGCTGTTGCTCAGGCAACTTTAGCCCAGCCTTGTGGCCTGACCAGTTTCTCCTCCACAACTAGGGAAGGAATGCAGCTTTAATTCCCATAAAATTTGAAGGACACAATCATTTTGTCCTCCAAAATCCCAACTAAATCTCCATGCAGGTCTGTTGTTTAATGGAATGTTCAGGCGAACGTCATCGACTAATGAAGCAGGAAGTATCATGTGAGATCATACTGTATTTATCAGTCACTGGTAACTGGACCAATGGAAAAGCCAGTGCACTGTAGGATGCAAATAATGGAAGCCATTAAGTCCACTCTGTCATCACAGGTTAAACCAGGCTGGTTCCAGTTCTCCACTTTCCACCTTATTGGCAGTTTCCTTCTGGTGAAATGCATATTTAAAGTTGTTGAGGAGCGCCATTACCATCCACCATTAATCAGGGTTTCTGCATGTTTAAACGCGATAAATTTAAGACTTTTACAGACCTTTTTAAGATCATTATGAATGCAATTTAAGACCTACATCTATATTGATAAAAAAAACAAACACAAAGCATATGAAGGAAACTCTGTATTGGCTCCACATCGGTTTTGTTTTGTAGTTATTCATTTAAAGCTGCAGTAAGGTTTTTTCTGAAACTTTCACTATATCCTGACAGTAGTACACGAGACAGATTCAGGTTATTGGATTTTTTAAGACCCTGTGGACACCCTGATTAATAAAGGATGCACCTTCATGGGCAGTGTCCTTCTAAAGATGCAACCCCTGAATATGGACACAATGTCAATGCAATATTAACCCAGGAAGAGAACAATACTAAAAATGTTGTTGAACGGAAACAGGAAACGTCGATCATAAATCATGAATTTACTACTGGCTGAAAAGGCAATGTGTATTTACCAAAACATATTTCTTGGACAACACCTCTTACAACAGTGTTTTTATTTAAGTTTAAAATAGACACAAGTCTGATTAAATGATTCAAATCTGTAGTTTGATCATGTCTTAAAACACAGCAGGTACCCCAATGCTTCAGTTGCATTGAATATTGCACATCCACAGGAAACAGAAGACTGTTGCAACATGCATAGGTCAGACATCCTTTACATTTCCACACAAACATCCCCACCGGCCTGTAAAATATCACGTGTTACAATGCTCACAATGACTTTGGAAGTACTGTATTAGGTTTAGCATTAGTATCAAGCCAGCATATGAAGATATATTTTCTTTTACATCTGGTCATATTGCTGGCCAGTAACACTTCTGAAAAACAACGGTCAAAATATTGATCTCATCAGAACCATTTTAAAATCTTGTTGCCACAGAAATGCTCATTTGTAAGATAAAATTACATAATATAAAAGATCTGTTAAGCCTTTAACTTTATTACTACAAGGCTTCAACACCCTCAGTATAATGACATTTACCTTAGATCTGATTCAGCCTTCTTTCACTGGAGTTAAATGTGAAGGAGGATTCAATAAAATATTCTATTTTCAAAGGAAAGGTACATTTATAAGCTTTAATTTCTGATATACAGTAAACCTTCTCTGTTAAGGCAAGTGGTGACCAATACGTTATGGAAAAATTTGCAAAAGAATGACGGCAGATGTCTCAAAACATATCGCAAAAAAAAAGAGGAAACATTAGAGTTGATTCAGTGCTAAAAAGTCTCAACCGATCTATGACAAGGGATGAAAGAGAAATATGATTCTATCTGTACATAAAAACTTCCGTCTTCAAGGTACACACTCATTAGGAGAAATGTTTTAAGCTACTACAGGTAGGCCTACAGTACATGGTCCACACAAACCAGTCAGTTTTCTCAGGTTTCACCGTGCCATCTTACGCAATAATCAGTGGATTTGATTTATAATTGCTTTAAAAACTGTATTAATTACTGTTATCATACAGTGCCTGTTTACCAAAAACAATGAATAAGTGCACTTTTGAAACGTCCTTTTGATTAGAAACATACCTGCATTAATCTAACTACTATATTTACTGGATCAGAGGTTGGGGTGAAACATGCGGTCTAAATCAAACAGCAGGAATACTCAAATATATCACTCACAAATTGTAGTCATGGGAATCTAACGACCAATGGCATTGCAGTTAGACAGAACAGGAAGGTTATCACACTGGTAGATGCATTAGTCATTCCAAGTACATAATGAATTTTTATTTTTAACAAAGCGAGGTACTATATTGTATGCCCTTTCAAACAAGGCAAGCCACTGGTGAGTAAACTATACATAGTGGATTATATTGTATCGTGTGTCTGCTCGGGACATCAGAGCTCATCCACTCCTAAAACTAAACACTAAGCTAATAAATACTGAGAAAGCTTCATCCAGGTCTCCTGGCTGATTCAGGATGGTCCTTGTTGTCCTGTCAGGTGTTCTGCTGAACATTTAAAGGTGTTTTTAAACCAGATCTGTGAATTAAAAGGGGTCCGGCAAGGTTTAGAGGTCAGCCAGAGGTCCTAGAGGTCAGCCATGACTGTAGCTTTAAAGGACCAGTGTGTAGGATTTCGTGGCATTTAACGGTGTAGTTTCAGATTGCAATCATTTGTATGGAGCGCTGCTCCTAAACTGAAATACTATTTTTGCAACTCCGTTTTTGGGTTAGTTAGCTGAAATTAGGTCTGTGGTTAACACAAGTGTAAGCCCATCATGATGTCACCCATTGGTATTTATGCATTTTGAAGCCTAGAGTTTGGTGTTATGGTTGTCGCCATGTTGGGTTTTTCTGAGCCAACGGAGGTCACGTACAGCAAGTTGAGCTGCTATCACTGGCTGCGCTTGGTTTCAACTCATCTGTAGCAGGAAACAATGGTAGCTCGCCTGGTCACACATTGTATCAGTACACTAAAATATGAGTCTGACAAATGAGGAGAGAGATACAACACAGTAACAGAATCTTAATTTATTTTTCAGCACTGCCTAGTTTGACTGTTTGATCTGAGTTTGAGTTTTATTGTCTATTTTACTCTAAATGGGACAATCATTTACTAAATGAACATGATGCTATGGATGAAGACTTAAAACTAGAGATTGAGACCATATACTTACTAGGAAACTGTTTACTGAGCTCATAAATCAAGTGAGAAGTTGGCTAATTTCTGCATACACTCCATACAATCAGACTTTTCTTTGCAGCTAATGGAGCTACCCCCTGCTGGCCATTAGAAACAATGCAGATTTAAGACATTTACGCGTTTGCTTCACTTCTCAGACCCTGAAGTTCTGTGCATTATAACACTAACCTAAGAAATGTTCATGTTTTGTTCTAAGACATAAAATATGTCAGTAAACACCCCACCTGTTAATTTTGTAGCTTTTACGTGACTTAAAAAAGGCGGTTGCTAACAACAGACTACAGAAGTTGTTGGTGACACTAAAACACAGACTTATCTACTCACTCGTATGCCTTTACAGCCCTTCTAGAGATGGCATTTATGCTTCAAAAATCATATACTGTAAGTCATGTTGCTGAACAATGTGTAGGTATCATAAACCTTTGTTTGCCACAGAGCTTTTTTCTTTTTTGCAAAAATCCAAAATCTAAAAATCGCAAAACATCCTATTGGTTTTGTGTCAAAGGAGCCAGGGCAATGCTAACTTATGGGTGGGCCTAAAAAAATAGGCCAATTTATAGCCAGTGTTTGGTTTGTCCATTCTGGTCTACTGTAGAAACATGGCGGGTCAACATGGCGGACT